TCTTCATACAGTACCATGACATATTTCACCAGACCTTCTGGAACCATTCTTTTACGTAATGCCCAAGCGATAACAGAACGTGGTATTCTATCAAAAGCTTTCTCCAGATCTACGAAACACATAAACAGTTTCTTCCTTTTATCATGATGACATTCCTGCATCCTTCTCACAATGAAGATAGCATTTCCTGGCATAAAACTAAACTTCATATCATCAATTTTGATAATATCTCGCAATCTCTTCTCCAAAACTCGTTCTAGCACTTTCATACCCTGCTCCAGTAGTTTTATCCCACGATATGAACCACAATCCATCACACTTCCTTTTCCCTTATAGATTGGTATTAAGATGCTTAGCTTCCAATCATCCGGCATACTGGCTCCTTTCATAATATTATTTTCCACCTGATATAATACTTCTACTCCATGCTGTGATGATATGAAATGTTCTTTAGTAATGCCCGATGCCCCCCCCCCCTGCTTTCCCATTTTTCGAGGTGTTCAGCGCTTTCTTCTCGTTCTGCTCTTTTAAATATAACAAAAAGAACAAACACGAGCAATACTTCTTTGTCCAAGGATACTACAATTTTTAAAATCTAATTGTAATCAATTTACAATACTCCGCTGCTGTCTCCATGAAGGCTGTCTCTTATACACATCTAGATGTGTATAAGAGACAGGTATATATATAGTATAGTATAGTATATATATATATATGTATATATATATACTATGAGATAAACAACAATGCAAACAGAGGGATATGTGTTGTAAGCAATAGAACATTTATTTTCTTTTAATGTTGAAAAATAGCAACAAATTAATTAATTAATCAATCAATAAACATAAATCATGACTTTTTCTTTTAATACTAAAAATACTTTATTTGTGGCCAATTTCACAGAAGCGGATTCACAATTTCCATAAATTTAAACTTCAATCTGGGTATTACTAAACCCCGCAATTAGGTTGTTGTTAGTACTATAAAGTATAATTATGATGACCACACGTTATTTATTACTTATTTTACTAATCTATAGACTATTTTATTCATTTCTTTTTAATTAAGAAATCTAAAATCAAAGACAAATTAAATTCTAATTAAAAAATAATTAAATAAAATATTGCAGAAAAAATGGCTGCACTCTGCAGGTGTAAAATATAATTTACATTGCCGGTAGATTCTTTAAAAAAAAAAGTTACTTTAGTTTTAAAATAGGCCTATGCGTATAGTTTATGTTAATTAATTAATCAACCTTTGCAATTTTATTAAATAAAAAATTGAATATGAGATTTTAAAAACATCAGTTTGATAACTGAAATTTATCATAATTTAATAAATAATTGTCTTCCTATTTTACAGCATTTAAAAACATTTTAAAACATTTAGAATAATTTTCCTAAGCCATATGATACGCATTTAAAGCTACCTTATACTATATTTTCCCAATAGTTCTGCATAGCATATTCGAAATATAAAAGATTGACTCGCTCACTGATTATTACTTTTTACCCAACAAACACCAAACTTTATAACTTTCACGACCGTTATGACCAATTTATAAGCTAGCAGAGCAAAGTTAGCAACGTCATTTACGTTATAAGTAGGTGTTTAACACTCTAAAAAATGTTTTGTATAGTAAAGTTCAACACTATCATATTATTTAGATAGAGGTCAAAGTGTTAGTCGGGTATACGCTTAGCTTGTACGCTAACCATAATTGTTACGATTATACTATTTGGCGATACTTGTTAATTTCATCAACAGTAACGCCTAAGTTTTTGAAAATAGGTGTTAGAATTTTCCAATAATTTTCAAACTCAACTACTGGAATTCTAAGGTCTGGATTATGTGCTATCATCATGTTCCTGTACTTTTGTATTCTCACTAAATTAGCTAGGTTTGTATTATCTTGTTGTCCGGGATTTGTCCAGAATTTGTCTGGGCGTGAAACACCACAGCAATACCGAATCAGTATCATCATTATGGTGATATCAAATTTTTTGATATTGGCATCTTTTCTGTACATTATTTGCTTCTGATCGGCAACAATTTTGATATTCTTTAATCTAGCATGCTGCTCTTGCATGAGAAATTGTCCAACATTGGATTTGTCAATTCCGGTTTGCTTAAGAAAATACTTCCTCATCTGCTCAGTTCCAACTTCAATTACGAGTGACTGCATCATGAAAAAGTTCATTTTCTCCTGCACTTGTACAGGATCAAAACCTACACAAAATGAAAAAGAAAGTGTACTTAAGTAAACCTGAAATTACAGTACTTGTAATCTCTTCAAATGTCACTGTCAATACAATAAATTAGGCCTATGCCAAATTACAAGAGTTACTTTGAAATTCCCATTAATAAGACAATTCTGTTCAACTTACCGGCTTCCTTCTTGACGGATTTGATGTTACCATGTTGCTCTATGAAGTCATTATTATAATTAGTCTTGTGGTTATTTGCTTCTGTTAAACCTATGGATTTAAACCATTTTTTCACTGTAGGATCCATGCTATTGGTCTACAAAATGAAAATTATTTAAGCAAAATGTAAACTAAGGTCCAGAGACATTACATCAGTTTAATTAATAGGACGTGAGATGGTCTGACTCTAGATTATAGCGGTGTAGTGGCTATGATTCATTAAGGAAACCCCGCCGGTATGATCAGCGTATATATTGTTGTAGTCAGTGTACTCTGGAAACATCTTTTGACTAAAAGACAGAAATTTAGTTACCAGATTAACTGAATTCACAAAAAGGCTGCACTCGGAGGCCAGTCTATGGGTATCATAATGTTTAAATAATCAGTCCAGGATTGTGAACAACTGTCAATTCCTGTTTGCTTAAGAAAATACTTCCTCATCTGCTCAGTTCCAACTTCAATTACGAGTGACTGCATCATGAAAAAGTTCATTTTCTCCTGCACTTGTACAGGATCAAAACCTACACAAAATGAAAAAGAAAGTGTACTTAAGTAAACCTGAAATTACAGTACTTGTAATCTCTTCAAATGTCACTGTCAATACAATAAATTAGGCCTATGCCAAATTACAAGAGTTACTTTGAAATTCCCATTAATAAGACAATTCTGTTCAACTTACCGGCTTCCTTCTTGACGGATTTGATGTTACCATGTTGCTCTATGAAGTCATTATTATAATTAGTCTTGTGGTTATTTGCTTCTGTTAAACCTATGGATTTAAACCATTTTTTCACTGTAGGATCCATGCTATTGGTCTACAAAATGAAAATTATTTAAGCAAAATGTAAACTAAGGTCCAGAGACATTACATCAGTTTAATTAATAGGACGTGAGATGGTCTGACTCTAGATTATAGCGGTGTAGTGGCTATGATTCATTAAGGAAACCCCGCCGGTATGATCAGCGTATATATTGTTGTAGTCAGTGTACACTGGAAACATCTTTTGACTAAAAGACAGAAATTTAGTTACCAGATTAACTGAATTCACAAAAAGGCTGCACTCGGAGGCCAGTCTATGGGTATCATAATGTTTAAATAATCAGTCCAGGATTGTGAAGCCCAGTAGGTCAAATAAGTGTTGCCCTAAATAAAAGAGGCATAGTTTTGTCTTTAACTATAAAATACCTTCACAAACGAGATACAAATTGTGAGTCAATAATTATATTTTATGTTGACAGAAGTAGTTAAGAAAAGAATATAGTAAAAGTCTGATTATACAATACATGCTACAGTGATGTGATAAATGTAAGCATTCCTCTCGTCACATATTCCTTTAAACTTAATTGCCTTACAGTAAAACTTCCACTAACCAATACTATATTAGTAACCCAATCGAATGGTAACCAACTAATAGGCTTAACCCATTACTCTAATAACCCATGGGATTAGTCACCAAAACTATACACAGAATGACATTCAAATCAATATTCCTGTTACTTTAACACGATTTATTCCTTTAAATGGCATTCTTCACTTAAGGATATCTTCTTGAATTTACTCCTTGGTATTTTTTTAATGAAGATTATTGGTCCAATTTTAATTTTTAAAATAAGGCATGTGAATGGTGGAGGGGGCGGACGCGTGTTTTTGCGTTTATAAATAAAATTAAATCAACAAAGATGTTTTACTTGTAAGCCAATTGTATTATTTGACGCAAAAAACTCTGGGTGGTTGGGGTCTACTATTTTCAAGTGCCTACAATAAACTTAGTAATAGTAACCCACTACTCTAATCGTAGCCCGTACTCAAATAGTAACCCAGGGGCGGATTTAGGGGGGGGCCGGCCCGGCCCCGGCCCCCCCTTTCGGGAGGTAAAAAAAAGGGGAAAAAAGAAAAAAAAGAGAGAAAAAGAAAAAAATGATAGCCCAGAATGCCTCAAATGTTATGTTCGGGCGTCTAGAACACAAAAATTTCGCGGGGGCATGCCCCGGACCCCATACGACAGTGTTGTCTCAATCGGCCCAACTTTCGGCCCCCCTTCCAGCCCCCCCTTTTGGACATTTCTGGATCCGCCCCTGTAACCCACCCTTAAAAAATACAATTAACGAATATCAGAAGATTTACGATACATTTTAGAGTTAACTTTGTCACTTTATTTCATATATTCTGTTATTTATTGAATATACGCCTTTGTACCTGCGGAACTCACTAAAATGATGTGTTCCACTAACCTATACCGAATGAAAATGACTACTGGTATTTTCAACAGTACCGAATAAGGAAATTTTAATCCTGTAATGAATGTTTGCGTCAGTTGCTTTTGTAGTGTGATGTATATTATGATGTATGATATGATATTATGATGTAGTGTTATTGTAAAATTTGTATTTTAGGATACAGTATCATAATTGACATATATAGGATTATATAAAATGCCCTTAATGTTAAGACTCCCATAATGATGGTGCTACGGTATATTTCAACAAGATTTGTAAAGATGCCCGGGTGGTAAATCCAACAGACGTCCTTATTTAATTTAGCGAAGAGAAAATACATATACTTACAACAAAGCCTTTGTTCGGATTCCATCCAATATGACTGACACGCCTAAAAGTAATCAGTTCACTACTGTCATTCGTTTCATTATGTGTAGGTGAAAAAAACCAGGTCAATAAATCAATCAATCAATCAGTCAGTCAGTAAGTAAGTCAATGAGACAATATATCAATCCATCAAACACATTGTGGTCCAGTAATGCGTTCTATTTATATCTTGGCCAATCCAATTTTTTAGGGGAACTGGGGCAATGCTACCACTTTGAAATCTGTGTTTTTGTAATCTAGAAAGTCAAAAGGGGACCTTGAAAATAATTTATATGATTTCGAAGTAGATGTAACGTTTCAACTAGTACAAGATAAATAGACACTTACTGATATTTTGATTGAAGACCAATATCAGCTTTGGTTATCTTTCCCTTCTTGCCCTTTTTTGTCTTGTCTTTCATTTTATCTTGAATTTTATTGCTTATCTGGTTAGGTGAGTAATGAACCTCTGTCGATGTCGAAAAAACAACACAAGATACATAGGATGATTACTATAATACAAATATTAATTAATAATAATTCTTAATCTTGCAAGTCGAGACTCAACAATACAACAGTTCTTTTTGTATCATCTACAGGTTGTACCGAAAGCACTTATAATTATTTGTTACGGTATTTCGCCATGCAAAACCTTGAACAACATAACGTCTGAAGACACAATTGCAACCAGTGGAAAAAAAAACATTCTAATTATAAGCTTATGGTTTAATATGTTGAGAACGAAATAAACACACGCAATATTTGTTAATACAAAAAAAGTTACAAAAAATACTAAACACATGTGATATTCACATACAAGGCAAAAGCTTAGCAGAAGTTAAGTTGGCTCTTGGCTTTGGTGGCACAAGAGAACATTTTCTCTGTATAATTAAGGTACAATACAAAATAATTTTAAAATTACAATTAGCAACATAATATACATTCATAACGTAAGCATCATAATTGATTCTCCAACCTCTAATTTATAGCTTTTCATGTTAATTATTAAACAATTCATGTTTCAATTATAGGATTATCAACCACAACCAATCGAGAAATCAAAAATAGTGTTTTACCTCTTATCTGTTCAATAATTACATCACTAAATTTTTCAGCTTTAATATCAATAGCAAAATTCAAACCAGTTCGACATGTCTAAAATGATAACAAATTAAACAATAATTAAAATCTGTTCAATCCCGCTGACTGTCGGCGGTGCAGTAAGCGGATCGTCATCAAATACAATTCGTTGCAGACACTCCGTTGCGTTTCGTTCATAATCGCACCCGACGACAATTGGCACAATGAAGCTGAATTTAAGTGCAGCAATTTGATGGCACGCACCGCCAAAAGGGTGCAGGATGAGAAGGGAGTAATGTCTACTCCTGATGGGAAGCCAAGTGGAAAGACTTTGGACCAGATTGCTTGTGACATTGTCTAAATTCTACCTGTATAATACCGTAAGCAGAATAATGCCAGGGAAAAAGGATTGTTTGTCTGTTCATTCATGAAGAGGGGAAAAAAGTAGTCTTTTCTCTAATGCTACTCTTTTCCCCTCTTCATGAATGAACAGACAAACAATCCTTTTTCCCTGGCATTATTCTGCTTACGGTATTATACAGGTAGAATTTAGACAATGTCACAAGCAATCTGGTCCAAAGTCTTTCCACTTGGCTTCCCATCAGGAGTAGACATTACTCCCTTCTCATCCTGCACCCTTTTGGCGGTGCGTGCCATCAAATTGCTGCACTTAAATTCAGCTTCAATCTTTCGCACACTCCAAGTTTTTGGCATCAGTTTTAGTATCTGGATTTTCTCACTTCTAGTCGAATTATTTGTAAATTTGTGTATCAATTGCATTAAGATATTATCATCGTCACTTTCCTGCCTTATGTGCTTGAAACGCTGCTGCATAAATTTTGTAACTTGGAATGGCCATACTCCTTTCCCTTCATACGTTTTGGATCAAGAGGGGTTCCACCATAATTTGAAAGACTTCATCTACAGTCCGTTTCAATACATTTTCTCCCATGGAGGTGCTTGCAATTGGAGCATCTGCTATGCTCTGAATGGTATCATCAGCCGATTGGTCTGGAACACAAATGGTAAGGGGTATCAAACTGTGATCTAGGATTGCTTCTAGAACACAGTGGACAACGGTATCGCTACAAACTACGCGTCCGTGATAATTGTAATCGACCTTCTTTTGTTATGAAAAATGAACAACAGTCTAGATCCATGATCAGCGCCACAGGGCTGCACCCGTATTCAGGTATTAGGCCTCACACCAAATAGCCACCTGTCTGCCCTCAACTGATTTTGCATGACAAAAGGCCGATTCCAATAACCACTGAAGTTTAGTTTATGGCGAATACGGCGTCGTTAAATAGTGTATCGTTGTCCACTGTGGAAAATGGTGAACTAGGAATTAGGAAGTGTTTCTGTCATATAACCACAAACAGTGTGAATGAAAAAAAGATATTTTACAGGTACTGCGCTACTTCTTTGAGAGTTTTTACCCTTGCATATAGATTTGCTCACCTTCACTGCTATTACCAGCACCAGTGTCAGGTTCCAAGGGGTAACTGGGTGACCTACTCAACGATGAGAGAGCTTTCCTGCATGACGGGCATACTTTCTTTCCTGGTATCAGGGAAAGTCCACGACATGCCCTAACAGTATCCAAAGATATTGAGCGTATTCCTTTTCTGATATTTTTGTCCTTATGATTTTGAAATGGGATATAACAGCACTTCTTCTCATTATGAGAATAAAGTTTGAAATATCTACTCCAATGAACGTGACACACTTCTGAAATGGCCTGATCTGATCCTAACCTTAGCTGAAGTATAGCTTCCTCGTTTGACGTTGGAATGTGAAAATAACTTTCACGAATCCCAGAACATTCTTCACCAACACAAAGTCCAACAGAACATGCCCTGACAGCCATGATTTCCAAGTGCATTGAAGATGACAGCAATGCAAGGTGGTGCCAATTCATAGAATCAATCAGCAGATTTTCTGGAAAGTCACTGACACTATCAATACCCAGAGGTGACGGAACTAGGGGGTGCTGTGTTATGGAGAGTAATGTGTGACCGGAAATGGTCTGCATCAGTTGGTTGTTACCATGCGCCAGTGATGTTGGAGGATATAGTACAGCAAGATGAGACTATTATGTAGGCCAAATGAATAAAGTTCGGAGTTTGTCGGGTAGTGAAATGAGTATTGTATATTTTAAGCGCTAGCTAAATTCATACGTGTAAGCTAAATTACGGGGATTAATTTAATTAGCGAAGATATGGAGACAATTATTTCGAAGTTCCTTCTTTCCAAGAGGGGATGCAAATGCTTTGTGAAAATGAGTACGCCGCCGTACTCATTTTCACAAAGAAATACACACAACTGGTTAGCTAACAATATGCCAATACATGAACACCTGCGAAAGAAGGTTCAATCACGTTGTTGCCCAGCAAACGTCTGTACTGTATTGGGGGGAGGGGGCGCTACTGATGTACTGTGAAGCGGATGACGATGATACATAATTAGACTAGGCCTAGGCCCAGGCCTAACTTGACAGTGCAATTATATGTGATAGAAAATACACTTTCAAAAGAAATAAATTAAAATAAAATTTAAATAATAACAAAAAAAAAAAAAAAAAAATAACTAACAATAATTCAGTTGCAGAGGTACCTTGTACGTATTATACAATGCTAACAATGCGGCTCTTGTAGCCCTAGCTAGGACAAGGCATCCATGAGCAAACCAGTGGTGTTTGTTTATCCATGAAAAAAGCACGTCTGCCGCCTGGATAATTTGCCTTACCAGGAAAAGGTGACGTATTATAGCTTATGACGTATGCATGCTAACTATATTTTGAGTGTGACGTCACCAAAAATGAATGTTTTCTATTATAAGCAAAATATTAATAACTACAAGGTTTCTGGGCGGAAATTGCCTTAATACGAATTAAGGGTTGCACAATCTCCTTGCCATACAAATTACAACTCCCACTGACGTCTCGGTCGAGAAATACGGGTAGCTGAATTTTTTCATATCCAAATTTCACGTTCCACTTTTGAACCTAATTTTTGCTTCGCACTCGACGCTGAGGGCGGCGTTCCGGGAACCCTGCGTCTAGGCACAAAATCTAGTCTAGAGCTAATATATTTCATTTGCCCACAATGAAAATTTAGGAGCATCATGTGGGCTAAGTTTCCTAACTGAAATGTGAATTTCCCGGGTTCGAGATATGTACTTTTGTGATATTTTGGGTCAAAGGTCAAGGTCACGTGACCTATAAATCTCTCACTAGTCAGGAAATCAACGAGTTACATGCCATTGGAAAGAGACTCTTCTCCTCTATTTAACGGTACCAAAATTGCCTGAAGTTGAGTTTAAAGAGAGATATCAGCTATTTTCTGTCTGAAGGTGAGTTTTTTATCCAAAACCCATGAAAATTTTAAATTGCTCTAACTCATCTGAAAATGCTGGCGCGGAGCCAAAAATTTCGCTGTGGAGGTTTTTTCCAGGTATACCACCAACAGACAAAATATTTGGCGATTTCAAGGGAGTCGGGCAAAAAGTGTGTTGCATTCATTTGGAATAATTCATATGGAATGATTCATATGGAATATATATATATATATATATA